ACCTAGACGCACGTGTGTGTGTCCAAGTGGAAGTAAGTGAAGTCTCTGCAGGTCAGCGCGTCTGTAAGTGCTGATCGAGGTGTTAGATGACTTTCGAGCAGTTAGCCTTGAACAATGATGCCAGACAAAGCAATCGAGGGCGTCGGCCGGCAGCGACCACTACTTTTCCAAAAATATGTTTCTGAGGCTATGTTCTAGATTCGCGATTTCCTCCCAGTGCTTCCGCCTATTGCGGACGTACCCATAAAGTGTATTGGGACATATGGCTCATTCTGTTAGTCAACGCTCGAGGACTGTTATCGCAAGGCTGTACTTGCTTACGCCATACATGCTTAGCTCTTTATAATCGCCAACTGATATAGAAGCTTGAAGATACAAATACTTTTTCCCTGTATTTGTTGCTCCTTTATGATTCTTTTTATCGTCGGATCGACCCGTGAAGGTCGCGCGCGTGCTATTTTCATAGGGCAGTGGGTTTAAAATGGATATTCTACAACAACCTGGGTATACTTATCAAAGTTCTCGCTGTGCATAACATTATCTAGCTAGGTTTCCGCGGAAGCAACAGATCGCATTGCGTCCAAATCCCTTTTCCGACCGTTTTAAAGCCTCTTTATCTGCAGTTTTCCAGATAGGAGAGAACACACGCAAGTAAACGCAATACTGTCCCTTAACCGAATTAGCGGTTGTGACTTCACTTCCCTCATGAATCCTTCTCTTTGGAAACGAAGATCGAGACAATTGGATCGTTGGCCTTTTCTCAACCTGATTCCGACCACTATGTGTTAGATAAGGTATTCATTCGGGGGAAATTGTAGGAGGTTATAGTTGCATGCTGTGGTTGCAGCCTTTATTACGGGAGATTTCCAATTTGCGCTAGGAACGTTGAATTCAGGCAGTAGGAATAAGTTCTCCCACTTGCATTTAAATTTTAGTTAACTTAGTGATTCCACGTCGTCACCTGTATTCGAGTTAAGGCCGGTAGACAATGCATTGGTGAAATATCAGCGATCGTCTGATCCTGAGTTTGCATGAAATTATCCCATAATTTCATAGTCCTACGCCGGCAATTTCGCTCTGACAGCAGGAAATTTCATTCGATATATAAACTGCAACGCCTCCACCTCTATGTTGAAACCTGTCACAAGGGCACATTTGATAACCTATAATACTGATTTCACTGATTGCCAATACAAGCGAACATGAGAGCCCAGGAAGAAAAGTCATTGAGAAAAAGAAGATTCGATCGCTAGGACAACG